ATATACGTGTATATTTTTTTTCATCCCTCTTGACGTATGCACAAGGTTGATTAAAATCGGCGTCTGACACTTGGGTATGTTTACTTTATATATATTATTTTAATGGCAAAAGTTATAATATTCATTTGAAAGCTTATAAAATTCCCTACAAATTGGTTGTTTAACTTACTTTTTATCTTTACTCAATAAAAAGATATGTCCGTCAGAATGTTAAAAAACAACATAAAAAAAAGTTTTCCATCCAGTAATTGTGCCGTAACTTTTTTAGTATGCAAAAAAATAAAAATCCCTATGTAAGATTTTTTACATGCATTAGCGCCATTTTTCCTATTGGTCGTAAGAAATACTTGACCCCCCCTCCCCCCTAAAAGTCTTACGTAATTTATGGACGGCCCCTTACTGGATGGAGAACTTTTTTTATGTTGTTTTTTTAACATTCTGACGGACATATCTTTTGATTGAGTAAAGATAAAAAGTAAGTGAAACAACCATTTTGTAGGGAATTTTATAAGCTTTCAAATGAATATTATAACTTTTGCCATTAAAATAATATATATAGTGATTAGGCTTAAAAACTACCAGAGAACGCTGTTTTTTGCTGTTTTTATGAATTATAAAATTGATATTACTTCTTTTTTACATCTTAACTGCATTAATGTTGCTTAAGGTACACATACGTTAATTTCCAACAGAAATTCAAACTGTGGGGTGCTTTTGGATCTAGCTATAACAAATAACCTACAAAAAATTACGAAAAATTGAGTTTTCTTTTTATTCCTTCGATAAAAGATTTTCATTTTTGGCTGAAATTGAACTAGAATGAGATTTGAGAGAAAAATTGGATGGGGGGGGGGGAACTTTTGGGTTAAACCTCATCCAAGAGCACTGTGAGTTTTGAAATTATGACCATGGATTATAATTTAGAAGTTAAATTTACTTGCTTGAAATTTGGTACATGGGGTTTTTTTGGGTCTGTGATTACGACTCTGGCGTCAGTTTTAAAAAATTCAAAATGGCGGATCCAATATGGTGACGGTACCCTGGTTACTGAAGGAATGTCATATATATATTTGAAATGTCAAATATAAAAGATTAGTCATTTTTTTGAGTCATATAATACAAGGCAAAATTGACACACAAAAGGTTTTCAAGTCAAGGATTACTAATCTTACATTGCATTATAGTATAGTCACACATACAATCTACCTTGTATTATATATTAAGTAATGAAGATTTTAAAATTATTGAAAATGTAAATCAAATTTTAAATGATATGCACATGTATAAATTTCAAGAATAATTGAGAAAAAATTCAAATTATTTTTTCATTATGCAAAGTATTTTGTATTTATCCTTATCCGTTTTATTTCAAAAATTTATTATTTGATTTAAGCTTCTATTCATTAGTCTTCGCCAGCATGGGAGTAAAATCAAATCAAAGGATATGGTTCTTATGTTTTTCATGTACACGGACAAGTGTATCATAATATATATGCTCTTCATCTTGATGGTGATGATAACCGAAACTATGGTCAGTTGTACATTCTTAATACCAATGAAGCAGTACTGGAACGATTAATGAATAAATCGTATAAGAAATGGTTATCATCAAAATCTAAAAATGAGCCTATAAGAAATATTCAAAAGTGGATTAAGCGCGACGGATCATTGAGTCATAGGAAATTTAATGTTCTATCTTTTATTGAAGTAGCATTTGTACACTACCGTCGAAAATTGTCGGTACGATTAACGTGCGAGGAGTGGAAATTCGGTGCGGACTTTAAAGCAAAATATTTTAAGTTAGAAAAAAGTTACTTAGATGGTTGGAAAGCTGATAAAATTTTGTTTCTGAATGTATATCAAGAAATTTTTTTTTTTTTTTTGTATATATACCACCGAAAAGATTTCAAGAAAAAATTATGCAATTTTCGTACTTTCGTACTAATGTTTTTAACTTCCGGCATAATCTAGAATAATGTATGGAAAAATTTGACAATTTGACAACATAATCTTTAAGATCTCAGCTTTAATTTGCATTTTTAAAACTTAAAAAATCTATTGTGGTTCCTGAAATATGTTAAAAAAGGTCCGAGCATGTTTTTCTACAACTCAGCCGTCGATCATCACTTTTTGGCGCCTCCCTGCTGGCTTGTAGAAAAACATGCTCGAACATTTTTTAACATATTTCAGGAACTACAAAACATTTTTTAAGTTTTCAAAATTTTAACACAACCTTTAAGATCTTTGCTTTAATTTGCATTTTTGAAACTTAAAAAATGTTTTGTGGTTCCTGAAATATGTTAAAAAATGTTCGAGAATGTTTTTTTACAACCCAGCAGCGAGGCTGCGAAAAGTGATGATGAACATAGGGTAAGTGTACTAATTACGGCGAGTGCACCAATTACGGCGCGTTCATAAAAAATAACTATTATTACTATTATATTTAATATAACTGTTGCCAAATGATTAAAAAAAATTATTTCAATCTTTTTTTGATACAAATACTTATAAAGATGCACATTTAAACAATTATTAATTTCATTATTTGAGATCAAATTTTTTTCCGCGCCGCAATTGAAACATTTTTAAGATTTCCATTGGCTTCAATTTCGGCGGGCAAAGTATCTTCAAAATACACGTAATTTTGGTCACCGAAATTGATACACCGAAACTGATACAAACTCGCCGCAATAGAAAATTACGGTATTACACTAGAGTCTCCGAAGAGAGGACAGAAAGAGTCTTGGACCTCTCTACGGAATTCGTCCTTGACGCCGAAAATTGTAAACACTCCAGGGCCGTATATCGTATCACAGAGATGTGTTTTTTTTAACAGAATACATTCTGTTACGTATGTAAAACACTACGCGAGAAAGGTACACTAAAAACAAACGCTCCTGAGTTCACGTTCCTCTTTCTGATCCCGCCCATCTCTTCCCCCCTCACTACTTACCGCGCCGCGTCACTACTTAGTCCTCTCTTCAGAAGTCCTCTCTTGGGAGACTCCAGTGTAGTTTTAATTTCTCATATTTGTTTAAATAAACGATTTTTATAGAGTTAAAATTTTTTTTTAATATCTTAATAACATAAGCTTTAAGTTTAATAAGTCTTAAATTGAGTTTATACAATAGAAATGTCGAATTTTCTATTTCTAAGGTGTTTTGACTCGAATCTCGCCGCAATTAGTGCATTTACCCTATTTCAGAAACCACAAAACATTTTTTACGTTTCAAAAATGCAAATTAAAGCTGAGATCTTAAAGATTGTGTTGTAAAATTGTCAAATTTTTCCATACATTATTCTAAATTATGCCGGAAGTCAAAAACATTAGTACGAAAGTACGAAAATTGCATAATTTTTTCTTGAAATCTTTTCGGTGTTATAAATACAAAAAAAAGAAAAAATTTTCTTAATATGGGGCATTCTATGGGAAATTTTCATTGAAAATTTTTTTTTCCCGAAACATTTTTTTTCGAAATCTATATGAAAAATAAGGAAATACGTATTTTTTTATTTGATGAAAATGAAGGAAGTTATGATTTTTTAAAATTTTACGTCAACGAAGAAAGTGTGTTTTTGGAACATTTTTTAATCTATTGTACTAAGAAATTAAAAATTTTGACATATATGAAATTTGTTCATTTTTTCTCAAATTTTTCAAATATGTGCTAAAAAATAACGTACCTATAACAGCAGCAACAAAAAAGTTGAAATTAATTTTATAAAGTGAGTTTTCTCAAAAGAGACACTATCGACTTTTAATTTTTTTGCATTACAATCTCTGATGATTGAAGAATTTTTTCCCCTATCTGCGAAAGTGGTATTTATAACCTATAATATAACCTTTTTCCATTAACATTCATTTGTTTTTTTTAATTTTCATAAAAACATACTAAAAATCGTTGCGTCAAGCTTAAAAATTCTAAATAGTAATTTAAAAACTAAAAGTACCACTTTCGCAGATGGGGGAAAAAATTCTTCAGTCATCAGAGATTGTAATGCAAAAAAAAAATTAAAAATCGAAAGTGTCTCTTTTGAGAAAACTCACTTTATAAGTTTAATTTAAACTTTTTTGTTGCTGCTGTTATAGGTACGTTATTTTTTAGCACATATTTGAAAAATTTGAGAAAAAATGAACAAATTTCATATATATCAAAATTTTTAATTTCTTAGTACAATAGATTAAAAAATGTTCCAATAACACACTTTCTTCGTTGACGTAAAATTTCAAAAAATCATAACTTCCTTCATTTTCATCAAATAAAAAAATAAAAAAATATGTATTTCCTTATTTTTCATATAGATTTCGAAAAAAATGTTTCGGACAAAACAAATGTTCATGAAAATTTCCCATAGAATGCCCCATATACATTCAGAAGCGAATTTTGTCAGCTTTCCAACCATTTAAGTTAGAAACCTTTAACTTTTTTCCAACTTAAAATATCTTGCTTTAATGTCCGTACCGAATTTCCACTCCTCGCACGTTAATCGTACCAACAAATTCCGACGGTAGTGTATTTGTTAGTGAAAATGTTGATCCCATGACATATCCTTCAATGTTTCCTTATAGTGATTCTGGATGGACTGTTAACCTTAAGCATATACTCAAGGTACTTGTAATTTTACTCATTTGCTATTTTATATGTATCGTCTTTCATAAAGAAGAAAAAGCGTGGATTGACACTTGTGCGTTTAATTATATTTTTACATACACTAATTTGCGATGCTGAAAGTTTAAATAAAATGATATGTGCTGAAATCTCATAGACGAAACAAAGAATCCAGAACTTTTTAACATTGTAAAGCGATTTGAAGTTCATGGACCTTGCGGTAATCAAAATAGGTATTCACTTTGCATGGACCCTAAGATGGGTCATTTAAATGTATTGCTGACAATTCGATGATCATAGCATATAATCTTTATTTAAGTAAAAAATTTGAAGGTAATATTGACTCTGTAATAATAGGTTATAAAGATTGTAATAAGGAAATATGCAATATAATGGAATTGAACATTGTTTAATCATACGTTATGTATGTCCACCAGAAACTATGCACAGATTATATTTATTCAAATTAACTAAACTATTGTATTTTATTATAACACCATAATGTTGAAATAATACAATAAGGATTTCAAAAATAACATTATTAATTTTGTGAGATCCAAATTCCAATACCTTTTCGTCAAATAAAATAAATTTTTAATCTTGTAAAAAATAACAAAAAATATTTTTTATTACAATAAGAATAAATTGTTTTTTTATCATTTTCCTTAAGGGCTCCAATTCCCTTCCTCCCCCTACACTTGAATACACTTATTTCGCGATTTTTATACCTATTACCAAGCATTACAGTTTATTACAAAGGCATTATAAAAAACGCTCGGTTAAATGCCCCCTTGTTGGTAGTTATACATATATTATATCGATCATATTAAATATAAACAATGATTTTAAAAAGTACTTTGAACTTTTTTATAAATGCAAACAATTGTATACATGATGTTTTAAAGCTCGTCTTTTTCAATAACCGCTTCCAAGTCTCTAACGCTGCCAAGGAAGAGAGGAATGTTACCTTGCTTATAAAGGATAAGGAATAAAAAAGGTCTGTTTACTCGAAATTCTTCAGGAATGTCATTCCGTATGCTTCTAGATCGTCTCACTTGAGCAACTGTAAAACATAATAAATATTTTATTTAATTTTAAGGTCAGTAACAAAAAGTATGGAATTGAAATAAATAGGGTAAAATTCCTATAGCGTACTAATTGAAAAAAAGTTGGTCGAATCGAGCTGTAACTTGCTCATACTTTAGCCCTATGGCTGAGTCAGCTTTCAATAGGTAACTTTAGAATTGCAATAACTTTATTTGTTCGTAAAATATTTCATTTTTATTAACATTAAATAATTATTTAATTAATATCTCGAAAAAGGACATTTCTAAATTTTTTGTGTTGAAAGTATGCATTTTAAATTTTCAAAACAAAATTTGAAAAAGGGAAAAAAAACGATTTTGATAGCAGCTTGCCGTGGTAACGTTCAAGAGTATAAAGCTGTTCGCACAAGACATGTCGTTTCCCAGATAGCAAGGAAGCTTGCTGCAAACTTACCTCCGTGGTTGAAAGGCATAACAGCATAACTGCATTTATCATGATTTCGAGGAAAACAAGTTTTAATGTTCTCTTAGTTCTCTCAAATCGAAAAATCAACAGATATATTTGATATTTGAGATTAAGACTAATTATTTAATTTATTTTTAAAATACGTTTATTATTTTTAATAAAAAAGATAAATTGAGGCACCCAATCGAACAACCGGTCGCGAGCTTGGGCCGGACGTTCGGAAGCCAGTCAGCGTACGAAAATGTCAATAAAATTGAAATTCAAAATTTTAATTTTTTAAATATATTACCTTATAAAAATTAAAAGCCGCATCTTTTTTTCCTTTAACTTTTTTTTGCATCTTTTTTTCTTAATAAGAAATTAAGTTATTACGTAGCAAACGCACGCCAAACGTTCAGCCGCTCGCGCAACTTTAAAGTTTAAACATTCACCATTTTGTTATTAATTGTTCAATTGCATTGTAACTTTCCAGAAAACTTCTTTGGACCTTAATGAACAACTTTCTCACTGGAAGTTTGTTGCTGGTGAAAATTTACGAAAATTCCTCACAGGGTGAAAATTGCAGTTCATGAATTTTGCAATGTCTCATTAAAAAATTAATAACTTTTTTATTTTTAATCAAAACAACTTTTTTCTTTTTTTAGTCACTCGTAGAATATAATAACACGTATTTTCGTTTTTGTTTCATTAAGAAATTCGTAAAATTGTCTAAGCTGTCACGAGTTGAAGTCAAAAAAACAATGAGAATTTTCTTTTTTTAAAAACCAGTTTTTCTCTTATATTTCGAAAACGGAAAAAGATGGAAAATTTCTTATTAAGAAAAAAAGATGCAAAAAAAGTTAAAGGAAAAAAAGATGCGCATTTTAATTTTCTATAAGGTAATATATTTAAAAAATTAAAATTTTGAATTTCAATTTTATTGACATTTTCGTACGCTGACTGGCTTCCGAGCGTCCGGCCCGAGCTCGCGACCGGTTGTTCGATTGGGTGCCTCAATTTCAAGAATGGTAAATATTAATCGTCAGCGTTGGCAGAAAATAATTGATGAAGCAGACACTCCTCGTGTTTTCGCTAAACGTAAAAGACCTTCAAAAATTTTTACTCTTGAAAAGTCACCTTTTGAATGGTTCAAGCAAAAAAGATTTGTTGGTTTTCAAATATCAGGTGCTGCCTTGCATGAAAAAGCAATGATATAAAAAAACATAATAAGCGAAGATCTCGAGTTTACTGCGAGCACAGGGTAGTTATGTAATTTAAAAAAAAGGTATCAGATTCGTTCAGTTTCTATGAACGGGGAACAATTGTCGGCTGACGTTGAAAATTGCGTTGAATTTGTAGATCATTTGTTATCTATATAATTAGACTACGTAACTTTCAATTATGCGAAAATAACGCCGACGAAACTGGGTTATACTGGAAAATGTTGCCTAAGACTACTTTAGTTGCTGACTATGAAAAAAGAGCAGATGGGTTTAAAATGTCAAAAGAACTCGTCACTGTTATGGTGTGTGCTAACGCCGATGGCAGTCACAAAATTCCTCTTTTTGTTATAGGAAAACCTAAAAATCCTAGGTGTTTCAAAAATATCAAAAATTTACGGCAGTAAAATATAATAACCAAAAAAGTGCATGCATGACCTAAGATCTTTTTAGAATCTGGCTAACACAAGTTTTTTTTACCATCTGTGGAGGATTTTCAAAAAGAGGAATATCACATCAAATTCTATTGTAAGTATTGTTAATATAAATAATTAATTTTTAATTTTGTCAACAATTTTATTAAACTGACTAAAAAATGTTTTTATAATTTATTATTATTATTATTCATTTGTATACTTTATATTAAAACTAAAAGACATTTTCAAAAGTATTTTATTCAATAATTGAGTTTCAACAAATTTTTATTTTTGAAAAATTTTTTATACGTAATTAAATTTATGAGGAATTTTATTACAATTATTACACAGGACCACAAAAATTTTTTTTGGAAAATATACATTGACGGGACTATGTGTTCTATACGTATTTTGACGTGCTGAATTCAAATCTGGGCCTACTTTTGACCCAGCACGTCACAGTTTCGAGATAAATGAAAAAATACACCAAAAAATCAATTTTTTTAAATAATTATCGAACTTTTATAATGGGACGTATTTCGCTGATATTATTCTTCATATGACAGTTGAAAATTTCATAATTATTTGTAAGATTGACTCTTAATTGTTCCCTAAATATGTGAATGAAATTTAAAACCGTTAAATAATTAAGTAAAATGTAATTAAATGTATATATATTAAAAATATCCTTTCTATCATCATTTCTCTATTTTTGTAAATTAGTAGAAAAAAACAAGTTAATTTTTAAGGTTTGGTTATCCAGTGCTAGTTTCAGAAGTTATAAAAAATTCAATTTATTTTTGACGTGAAAATGTCTTGTAAAAACAGTCCGAACGTTTTTTGTATTATTTGTGGGGAATTTGTTGTTTCAAAGAACAGGAGATCATTTTCTGAATGTGCAAAAGAAATGTATCATGAATGTTACAATATTTCAATGACTAATTTGGATAATGACTGGACTCCAAATATTACGTGTTGTTGGTGTTTTGCTGATCTCCGACAATGGAAAAATGATGATAGAAAGAAGGTACGGTTTTATTCTCCAATGATTTGGCGTCAACCTGAAAATCATAAAGTGGATTGTTATTTTTGTCTTTCAAAAGTTATTGGTTACAACAGTAAAAATAAGCATTTGATTAAATACCCCCAAGTAAAATCAGTGACATTCCCTGTTGCTTTTAATGATATTGAAAAAACAATCTTCTTCCCAATGAATCTGAAACTTCACATTTATCCACCATTGAAAAGTCAGTATCAGAAAATTTTGAAGTTAATGACGAAAAGTTGGAAGTTATTGGACATGCAGATCAAGATGCAGATACTGAAGAATCTGACAATGAGACAACAGATTTTTCAATTGAAACCGAAAGTGATTCTGACTTTGATGTAAAAAATGAGCAAACTTCATTTAATCAATTGGAATTAAATGATCTCGTTCGTGATCTGGGCCTTTCTAAGGAAAGTTCCGAACTTCTCGCCTCTAGGTTAAAAGAAAAGAATGCTCTTGCTCCTAAAACTAAAATCACTTTTTATCGGAATAGAGACATTTCTTTCAGGGCTTTTTTTTCTCGAGAAAATTCTTTAGTTTATTGTAATAATGTTGAGGGACTCATAAACACATTTGGAAGTTATTCTTATAAACCTTCTGATTGACGACTTTTTCTTGACTCATCAACTACAAGTTTTAAAGCAGTCTTATTGCATAATGGAAACATTTACGCTCCTATTCCCCTTGCTCATTCCGTGGTTTTGAAAGAAGAATATAAAAATGTAAAATTTGTGCTTGAAAAGCTGCAATATGATCAACATAAATGGCAGGTCTGTTGTGATTTGAAGATGATTACAATTCTATTAGGGCAACAAAGTGGTTTCACCAAGTACCCTTGCTTTATATGCGAATGGGACAGTCGTGATCGGAAACAACACTATATTAAAAAAGATTGGCCTGTGAGAATTGCTTTGTTACCAGGGACGAAAAATGTTTTACTTCAACCCTTAATCGACCCGTAAATGGTGATACCTCCTCCCTTGCATATCAAGCTGGGTTTAGTTAAACAATTTATTAAAGGTCTGAAGCTGAACGTCAGTGAAGCCTTTCAATACCTGTTTATTAAGTTTCCAAAGCTATCTGATGCAAAAATAAAGGAAGGTGTGCTGAATGGTCCGCAAATAAGAGCACTTCTCAAAGACTATGAATTTGAACGAAAATGAAAGAAAACGAGAAAGCTGCATGGATTAGTCTAAAAAATGTAATTACCAAATTTTTAGGGAATAAGAAAGATCCGGATTACAAAAACATCGTCGAAGAGATGCTAAAGAACTTCAAAAATTTAGGATGTCTGATGAATTTAAAAATGCACTTCTTGCATTCGCACATTGACAAATTTCCTGAAAATTTAGGAGACTTTAGTGAAAAACAGGGCGAGAGATTTCATCAGGATATTAAAGATATGGAAAAGCGATATCAAGGAGCGTGGAATGAAAATATGATGTCAGATTACTGTTGGTGTTCGAATCGCGACACGGCAGTGAAACATAAAAGGAAGTCAATTCGAAGGTCATTTGAAAACAAAAATCTCGAAATTTAAAAGAATTAGAAGAAGAAGAAGAGAAGTGATCATTAATTAGATAGTTTCTTTGGTTCAATTTGGTAAGTTAAAATGTCAGGTTTTCCTTTTTATTAACGATATTTCTTATTTTATATTAAAAGATAAATCTAATACAGAAATCGTTGCTGATCTTTAAATGGTTTTTGAAGATAATAAAAATGACATGAATGCCATACAAACTTTTCTCGTTTAAAAACAAACATCTACGCTCTTTGAATATCGTGGAAAAAAGTGCTTTTTACTGATTTAATTGGTAAGTTTTACATTTTAAAAAATTTACAGAACAATTAGGAGTAAATTCTTAGAAATATATATTATAAAATTTTCAACTGATCTGTGGAAAATTATCAGAGAAATACGTCCCTTTATAAAAGTTCAATAATTATAAAAAAAATTTATTTTTTGGTGTATTTTTTCATTTATCTCAAAACTGTGACGTGCTGGGTCAAAAGTAGGCCCAGATTTAAATTCAGCGCGTCAAAATACGTATAGAACACATAGTCCGGTCAATGTATATTTTCCAAAAAAAAATTTTGTGGTCCTGTGTTATCAATCATTAAAGTAGAAAGGACTTTTTAAATGTACAAATTTTCAAAATAATTTAGTTTTGGTAGAGTTACCACTTTATACTATACTTAAGCACCGTTCACGTTCAAGTTTTGAAGAGTGGGGAATTTCAGGCAAACGTGCACGTTCGCGGCTCTACTGTAATTTATAAATAAAATCTTTTTTAAAGATAACGAAAAGAATGAAGAAAGGAAAGTTGACGAAAAAGAATCATATTTTATCTAAAGTTTTATCTTTCTGAATCTTTTACTATAATATTTTTATTCTAAAATATTTATTTGATTTGAAGAATGTTAATTGTTTTCTCTCTAAATCCAGTTATGTTGTTATGCTGGTCTCTCGTTGCCTAAATTGCAGTTATGCTATTAGGTTTTAAAACATTTTCTATGTAAGTAGTTGTTTAAATGAGGTGGTACCTATGACTTATTGAAAAGCATCAGTAAATATACAAAAATCCGATGTTAACTCAAATTTCATAAAAATATCATTTATGTTGTTATGCCTTTCAACCACAGACCTGATCCCAGACATTTCAAATTTTGACCTCGAACACATCACAAGGAGTGCCACATATACGGACAGGAATCTAGATTGTATTAGTAACTATCTGAAGATTGTAAAAATAATATTGTACTGGGTACTATCACAGATGGTACGGGATATTATAACAGATTGTTCACCTGTGTAAACTTTAAACTTAGAGCCAGTTTGTCGAGTAAACTTGCAACAATTGGACATTTTTTACTTGATACAAGCTGGTCGTGCAAGCTAGCTGTAAGTATAGTGCAAGCTTATGTGCTAATTGGGAATTGTAATTCTTGCATATTCTGCCAATGATAATATGTATAACTACAATTTTAATACCTGTCGCAGCAGCAACTTCGGAACCTTCTTCATCAACTTCAATGAAAATTTTCTGTACAACGTGGCTTACTTTGAGATCTTCACTTGAAATTCCATGAAAGTCGGCATCATCTTGGAATATTTTACTTAATCCCATCTAGTAAATAAACATTTTTAAATTAATGTAATAATATAGGGGAGGATGGGGCAAGGCTAGTTAGTGGCTCTATTGCCTACACGGCTTGTTCAAAAAGGGCACCATTCATCACATATACTTGTTTTAACACCAAAAGACGTCAAGAAAAATTTGATCTTGATGCGATATCATTTGTGGAAGCTACGTGTTTATTTGTGAAAATCCTGTTTTTTCTAAAATGTTTCAGTTCTGTTTAAAACACTGTTTCAGATATTAATTGTTTTAAATATTTATTTATGTCCAAAAAAAATTTTTGGTAGTGATTTGAACACAGTGGTCTTGAAGCAAAGACAGGGTTTATGAAAATGGATGGAAGATTTTCCAACGCAGAGTTCTTCCAGAAGGCCTCTAGATTCCAAATTTTCAAACTCCGAAATCGTACCTGATCCTATTTTAAAGATACAGAGGTTTTACCGTATTAAGGTCTAATTAAGAGTATTAAATTACTCATTTTGACTTTGAAGCTGCATAGGTTACTTAAGATCAAACAGTTAAGCTAATTTTTGTTAAATTACGAATAAGAAAGTTTTTGTAAACACTTCCATATAGTTTTTTACCTCATTCATTTCATATACATGCACTCAGAACGTGATTTAACCAATAACTGGTCATTGTTTCAGTTAGTTATATTTTGAATTTGTATACGGTTCTTAAACAATATATAAGCAGTATTCGAAAGATGTTCTGTATGAAAAAACTTGATTTACTATATACTGCGAAAATAAAAGTCACCTGGAACTGCAACCAAACACATCAGCATTGTGATTTAACAACATATAACGACTATAATGCTATGCAATGGACAGTACGAAAATGTGTACTCACGATGAAAATAGACGTAAAGTCTGCGGACCTTGCGGTAAAAAAATTTCCTTTGGAAACAGGAAGCCAAATGAATTTCTTATAAATGAAAAATATGAATTATTGATAAAGAAATATATAAATGAAGATTATGACGTGAATAATGAAAAATTTCCACTAAGCATTTGTTGCTATCTTATACTATTATATTATCGTCAATCCGACTGAAAAAAAAGATATTACATTCAGTGAAGTGCGCTTGGATAATTTGCGAGTGAATCTTGGAGTATCCGGTAAGAAAATGAAAAATATTGTTAACTTTTTAAGATCAAATGTTGGAAGAAAGTCAGTACCCGTTGATTACTCTAAGCACATGTCACAAAAATCAAAACTTTTACAACACATCTATAAAAAAGGTAAATACTTTTTTGATTGTGACAGTAAAAAAACAGAAGAAAGACCAGTAGTTTACGCGGATGCGACAGAACTTTTTGATGCAGTTGTTATGGAAAGAAAGTTTGAAGGAAATGTTTGTGTTAAAGCAATGGCTGACGGAGGCGGTAGATTATTCAAAATTTCTTTATGAATATTTCAAGAAAATTCAGATGATAATGATGTTGATTCTGTTGATGATTCAACATATCAGGCTAAAAATCGAAGAACTCTTTATTCCGAGGGTGGCAGCGCGAGTAAAAAAGCGAAATTGATGAGTGTCAAACGTCTTGAACTGCTATGCATTGTTCCTAAAATTAAAGAAACATATGAAAACGTAAAGATTTTGTTTCATATCACGAAAATCAATAGCATTCCCTTCAAATTCGTTTCAGATTTTAAATTGTTGCTTATCATAAATGTCCAACAGACGGCAACAGCAATTTTTCCTTGTCCCTATTGTTTTGTGTCACTTGACGACCTCAGAGAAAACAAAACATCTGGACAGGAAGATGTAAATGACACTACTCACTCTACTTCGAAAGCAGGGGATTTCGAAATTAATATAAAGAGTCTAAAATCATACGGAGATTTAAGAAACGATTTCGAAAAATTCGATCTTTCTGGTAGAAGCAAAAAAACAGCAAAGAGTTTCACAGCACTATCAACCCTCCTCTATTTACAGAAAGTGATGAAACTACTGTTTTAGAAAAGTGCACAATTCCTCAATTACATGTGTTAATGGGCTTAGTAAAACATCTTTTTTGGAAGGGCTTAGTACCTCTTTTAGGAAAGGATAAAGCTTTGATATGGCCAACAAAATTGAAACTCATTTCCAAAAACTACCATGGAGATAGTTTCGAAGGAAACGCATGTAGAAAACTGTTAAAGGAGGCTCACAAACTAAAAGATCCAAAGATATATGATAAAGTGGGATATTTAAAAATCCTACCTTTTATTAATGTTTTTGTAATGATGAATAAGGTTGTCGATTGTAGTTTCACATCTGGAAAAGTACACGGAAAAAATAAGTCAGCAAAACTTTCGTATATTAGTATTTCACTTTTGGACGGGGCACAAATTTTTAAAAGTTTCATATACTTTTAAGTAATGAATTATAAACTTTACCGAAAAAGTGAAACGGAGTCAAGAAATTATTTACAAACTGTAAAGGAAGAGCAGTTTGTTAATATGTATTAAACAGTTTTTAATAATCTTGTTTAAAGATTATCAAATTTCTATAAAAAGTTTTACAGCGCTTTAATAATTGAGGTGTCAAAAGTTTGGAAAACCGAAGAGAGTAGTTAAGACAACAGTCAACGAAAGAATCGTAGACTTTTTCTGAAATTTCGAACATGCGCAGTTCGCAGGTTGGTCAGTGTAATCCAGGTTGGATTATGTACCGGCGTATATTGTTTAGAGACTGATAAACTTGTTGGTAAGTATTATTTTTTATATTTAGTGAATCATTTTGGGAGTTAATTTATTTTTTAAAGTAAATAATTGATAAAATGTACTAGATAAATGCTTGAGCATGCTTGCTAACGATTTTCACGTGGCGCGATATAACCTTAAAACTTTGATATAAGTAAATACAGAAAATGAGATTTAATTTGATTGTTAGATGTTGTTTAATAGCTTCTGAAAATTGTATTAAAAATAGTTTTAAAAATTTGATTACAAATGCATAATTTAAAGTGAAAGAATGTATACCAATTGTAAGTGTTTTACAGGAAGGTAATGGAAAATTTAGATCAGGTAAGAATGTTTATAAACATTTCAAGAGTTCTATAAAATCCGTAAAAGATACAATTTAATTAGAAAAAGTAAATATAGTAAGTAGAAGCGTTCTTTGCAGTCAATTTAAATATTAAATTATGTGTGAGTTTAAATATTCATGTTTTAATTAAATTTTTAAACATTCACATTACGATAACGAAAATTTGTTGTGCATTGCACTTTTTTCAGAACTTGGCACCAATTTTACAATTGGATGATGCCATTGAGTGGGTAATAGAACATGATGAGATCGTACAAGAAACTCAATCTCCAAATCTAAATACAAATAGCTCACAAACAAATAACAAAGACATTGAAACTCTAGGGCAAGACGAGTCACCATAGTGGATTTCAATTCGTGATTTTCAAGTAAGAAAATATTCAGGCTTTTAATACAAAATACAAAGTTTTTATATTACTGAAAAAAAATATATATAGTAATAAATTAATAAATATATAAATTCATTCAGTTAATTTTATTATGTTTTAGGAATTAAAGTTGCTACTAAATAGTGAAGCTAATGCAAAAATATTATTTGCCTCGTACCGACATCACGGAAATTTAATAACAGAAAGTACAAGAAAACTTATTATACATACTTTTATTAAAAATAAGAAAGTGGAAGTACTAAGAAACTATAAAATAGAACAACCGCTAGAAGATTGGATGTACGCATATATTTTTTATATTTAAAAAGATGAGAAATTTAATAATAATAGTATAAATAGAATAATTATTAATTACTTATAATTGTATATATATATATATATATATATATATATATATATATATAAACAATTATAAGTAATTAATTATTATTCTATTTTCGTTTTCTTTAAATACAAGTTATTTTGCTTTCATATTATAAATATTTATTTACAGATTGGATAAAAATCAATTTATCAAATTTGTCAAAACAATTGCACGATTATTTCCATGCGAACTATCTGCCACTTATTATACTCCATTTAGTGTGGAGAACGGTGAAAGAATTCAAGCTTCGGGAAAATTGCTTAGCCATTTTAATTACGTTAAAGCAAATCTGAGGGAGGATGGAATTATTCTTCCGAAAAAACCTAAACTGAATTCGTCGTCTTGAAGAAAATGCCATTCAGTTTGAAGGTGAGGTGTCCTTTTTCCTACTCTTATCGTGTGACATATTATTAATTAGATGTTTGCATGATCATTATTTTTACTTTCAGAATCAGAGAAACTAAAATTGGAATATTTAGAATCCCATTCAGAAGATATTGAGAAGGTGACAAAATATTGGAAGGATACTCACGATTGTAGAAGGAATATTTTACTCATTCAGAAAGCAAGCGTCGACGAATATATTTCTCTATTTAAAGCTGTAAGAGAACAAATAGGAATTGATTTGGTAAAATCCTTATTTTATATGAGTTATTTCTTCTGAAAAAATCTTATTTTAAGTTTAAGTTAATGCATTACAGATAAAAATCGACTTTGAAATATTGTATGCTTGAAAAATTAATCTTCTTTTTGAAAAGTGGGCATCGATTCAGGAATATTTTATTACAGTTTTGAAAGATGCAAAACTTTCAAATTGTGAAAAAGTCTACATGGATGTTTTACCTACCTTGACTTTTGGTGAGTTATACCATTTGTACATTATTTATCCATAAATCATACTTATTTTATTGTAATTTTTTAACTATGAAGTAATTCTAAAAATTTATTTCTTATTATTTGAATATTTTAAAGTAACCTTCTCTTTAATATTTTCAGATCAACAAAGTGCAGTTGTTCTTTATTTACTTCTAAATATAATACCCTTAAATAGTCTTGTTCGATCAAAAAAAAGAAAACTTGAAAATTATGGGGCACCAGTGACAAGTGCAGCTGACGGACCTCAAAAGAAGGAGAACTTGAGAAACGAAAAGCGGGATTCTTACATTCTAATTATTCCGGTAAATACACTATTTTT